GAACGTGTTGGAAGTTATCTTCTCATTTCCATGTAAAACGTGACAACGCATTATCGGTTGCTCGGACAAGGTCGTACGTAAGTATGCGCACGGAAGACAGGAAGAAACAAATACAACATCAGATATGATTCATTCAGTCGTTATTATCAACATTATCAGTCGATCAAAATATTTTCTTCTCACAGTGATGTGTTCTTCTCTCTTCCTGGAATCACGCTGCGTGATAAACAAATCGATGAACAAGTTTCACGAACTTCTGCTTCTCGTACTCCGGTGTTTCTATACCAAATCTGGCGTTTCTCTCTGCCAAATGGCAAGCCTGTGGAAATGCCGAGTATTTTACGAGCGATTCGCGTTTCAACCGCGTGAAACTCGTGTCTCGCATTGTGAACAACGTTGCAGCACGAATTTTGGAGCAACGAAACGTAGCAACTTAGCTTCTATTTACCTTCTTTTTCTATTGAATTTCTATTGAACTTGTAACAGTGGGAAACCTTCAAAATCTTAAAGATTCAGTTTTGAAGATTCTAAATTTGTCCTAAAATCCTATTGAATGGAAAACGAAAGACTGCTGGTCTGAAAGAATCTTTGTTTGAATCCTTATTGTTATGCTAGGTGTAACCGAGTCCACTGAGCCAATTTCTTAACAATTTACTACGTCTTCCACTTGTGTACAATACAGCTAGAAGAAAGAAATATTTCAATTTCAAATTTATCCAGTCTTATGAAAACGTTACCACATGAAATGCGGAAATTAATATATCATTGCAAACTTACTAACTGACACGTAAATTCTATAATAATACTGCTATTTCTTACTTATAAGTTCGCCAAATTCATTTCTCAATAAAACTTTAGAAAATTTACAAAGCACATACTCGCCGATAAGACGTCAGTTCAACGTCACTCCTAATTCATTAAACTCTCTAACGACCAATCGTACGCGTTTCATCCTGCGTAATTAATCCTCCCATGCTCCAAAAATCACGTACACACCTATAACAGCGTTTTCTTCCGCTCGACGCACCTTCGACGGGTTGAACGTACCTCACAACCACAATTTCCTGGCACAATAACGTACGAACGTACACAACGACGAACGAAACACGCTGAAACGCTGCAGTCAGCTGACTGGAATCGGCGCACAATAAAGAAGGTCTCCGAAAGAAGAAAAGAAGGGGACCGTGAACAAAGAGAAAAAAAAAGAAAAAG